CGAATTCCCTAGTTCTTGTATTTAGGGGATCACAAGTCAATCAAAATGTGAGCCAGATGAATTGCCACTGCAAAGTCCATTTGCTGAAGAGGAATAAGGTATGAGTGATACAAAGTCGGACATCCAGGACAGTTGTTGAATGGATGAAGCAGTGGGCTTGCCAGTGTCCTGGGGGAATGTCCTCTGCCAGGAACACACCGCTCGGGGACCTACCCTTATTGGGAGCCGCCAGGAGGTGCAGGGGAGCTGGTTGTGCCTCTGTCCCTGGTGTTAAGATGTAATATATTGAACTCAAATTTCCAGATTTAAGATGAAACCAATTTACAGTTGCCCCTCTATTTAATAATCCCCATTGGAGAAGAGCGTAAAAGAAGGTTATTCTTAAATTATTCTGAAAATAAACCGGCTTTTACTACATTATGTGGCTGAGAGAGAGTTCTCAAAGTCACTCAGAGCAGAACTTTTAAGAAGGGGCTGCTCAGTGGGATTTGGGAAGAAAAGTTAATGGGCCGAGGATGAGTTCACCTGAAAAGAAAACATGCTGGGTAACCCAGTGCTCTTCAAACGAGTTCCTTCTATAAACAGCTACGATGAAGGGAGCACAGATGATCATATAATTATCCATCCTGCATGTTTGTCGATGTGTAATTATAATTCTATAATAATAGACAGTTGGGGCACCATCGTGTTAAAGAAAGTTCACTAGATTCAGAGTCGGGAAAACGGAACACTAGGTACTTTCTAGCTCTTAAATAAGTTGTGTGAGTTTTGAATAAGTTTGTTAATACTCCGAGACACAGTGTCTTTATCTAACATGGGAGGGAGGCAGACTAAGACTTGCTCTCCTTGTTTCGTAGTGCAATTCAGAAGGTTGGAAGAGGCGATGGCTACCCAAACTCTTTTCTTATGTATAGTCTTAGTCGCAGGAAGAGTGTCTCGATGTTCTTATAAAATTGTTTAGCCTGGATGGAAATTGCGGCCACTCCTTCCCCAGAGGTCTCTAAATGCACAGCATCCCTGTGTCCAGGTGGCCTAGCTCCAGGCTGTCTGAGGGCAAGAGAAGAAATCGGATCACCTGGCTGTGACCTTCTACCGCAGGTTTCCTAGCAGCGGCTGATTCCCGCAGGCCGGCGAGCCAGAAGAGAACAGCCCGTGTGATGAGACATGCTTCCTTCTTTTCTCAATTTTGGATTCTTTCCCCTACAGATGAACTTGAACCAGACACACGGTGAAGAACACTGGGATTGGAGCAAGCACCTGTTCTTGGTTTGACTTTTCCCTGGAAAAGGGAGTCTTCTTGCTTTGTGATGTCCATTGACTTGCTTGGCCCCCCTTCAGGTTGCTTCTCTGTTTGTTGATGGGCCGGGAGATATTTATGTCCCGGGGTCTTGCCCTTCTGGAGGAGAGTGTTAATTGATTTGCAATCACACAAGGCCTTGGTCAAATTTTCTCTCTTGGAGACGAGGAAGCTGCCCCAAAGGTGTCCTTCTCCGTTGGCTTGGTCATCATGGGAACTGCTGTCTTGGGCTTGCATGGGACGATCAGCCTCCCACAAAGAGAAGAAAACAGGAAACAGGACAGAAGTGGGACGGATGGCTCGGGATACTCTGGGGAAAGCAAGTTAAAGAAACCTAGCCAGATGTTACTCTCTCTCCTGCTCGCATAGCCTCCTGGTAGCCTTTTCGTGGTTTGAAAACCTCGTTTCCCGATTACCACAGAGACCAAAATTTTGAAGAGAGAAGAGGGAGATGGGAGAAAGGCTCATAGAAGAGAACAGTAGGATTTTAGACGTTCAGGGGAAATGGTGAGCTTTTACTTCAACTTCCCACTGAGTCAGAATCCTACAGCACCTCAGAGAGGGCCCCGTGGTCTCTGATTTACAGGCTGCCTTCAGAGAAAGCTTGTCTCGCTCCTGGTCCGAGCAGGCAGCCTTTGGGAAATGAGCTCACTTTAAGGTGAATGCTCACTATTTTAAAGTCTACTTCCTGGGTTCTTGTCCGTTTGGAATTTTCAGCGGCCAGATCTGTTTTCTTTTACCCAGCAGGCCTTTGCATATCTGAAGACGGTCAGGGAGGTTCCTCACTTGTCTATTCATGTCCTTCAGCCACTTCTCAGAGAATATGCATTCCAGACTCCAAACGCCTTTTCCTCGGGCCCAGTGCAGGATGCTAAGAGCTTGTCATTTACTATCCTTTAAGGCACAGGGTACCCATGCTTTGGTTCCTGGAGCCATCTCTGATGGAAGGAGTTGAGACTTGAGTAGTACGTAGGTCTTCCGATCAGACCATTCACTAAAATGGGAAATAGAAACCTTGCCTGGTGAACCAGGATCCTGTACTGAACCTTACACACGTTAGCTCAAAGTTCACACCGTACCTCTGAGGCGTGGAGATACCCTTTCTGAGATGTAAATCTTTTCAGCTCTGCTGGCAATGCTAAGAGAATGAAGATTTTCCTATGTTCTCAACCAATCACAAGTTTGCCAGCATCTCTCCGCTCCTGAGATTCTGGACCAGAATGTCTAGCTAGTAGCTCGATGACGAACCGACTTGCGCTACAAGCTCTCTCCTGGTTCCTCCAGACAGGAATAATGGCTTCCAGAGCTTTCCATCTGTCTTCTGAGAGCAGAGCCCAAGGTTGCAGCAAGGGATTAGCAGACGCAGAACACAGCGCGTGGCCCCAGAGGCTTGTGAAAGAGGGAAAGTGACATTAGAGGCTGAAATCACTTCCTCGCATTTCCTGTCATCTTTCTGTTGGTTTGTGTGCACAGCCTGCTGCACCCAAACCACCACACCCTTCCTGTGAGACTCCATCCCAGAACCACTGGAGGCTTTGGCTTTTGCTTAGGAGCGCAGCACACGGCCCTGAGCATGCACTCGACAGAGCCGAAACCGCCTAACCGAGAGAGGAATGAGCTTCGCGCCAGTTGACAGGAGAGAAGAGACTCAGGGAGGCGAGGGCAGAGCGGAGAGGCACCCCGAGAATGGGTGGCAGGATTAGGCTGGAATTCAGTTCCTCGGACTTCCGGTCTGAACCGCTCTCTGGAATGACACATGGACCGTCATGTGCCTGGATCTGTCTTTATAATTAGGTAGGAATGCGTGTGTGAAATTTACATTCGTAGATTCTTTCACCCACCTGTCCCAATTTGATTCTCACAGTGACCCCAGTTGACAGGCCAGGGAGCTGCAGTTTGGGGGCTGGGGTCCCAGGGAGTCTGTTCTGACCCAGAGCGACCTTCTGCCCAACAGAAGGACACATCGCCCAGTCCTGTGCGGTCCTCACCTTTGAGCCCATGGTTGTGGCTGCCGAGCTTCAGAGCATATTAACCCATGTGGATGCTATTCCTGCCTCTCTAAATGAGAAGTTTTACAGATGAGGACATGGAGGCTCTTAGAAGTGGTATGAGTCTGGATTAGGTCCTAATAAGCTGGTTTGAAAGCAAGAAAGCACTTCAGTGCACACAGCTAGCAAGCGGCAGAGTGGGACAGAGCTGGGAGATGTTTGAGGAAAGCCTTTGGTGGCGTTGACTCTCGTGCCACTGGTAGGCCAGGTGGTTCTTCTGTCCCAGGGAAGGACTCGTGATCCCAACCTCTGCGGAGGAGTCCGCCCTCTGCCCCCAAATGGCTGCCAAGTAGTGCTGACCGGCAGCAGGAGCAGGATTACGGGGCTCCCTCACAGTCCTCGGAAAACTGAATTGGGAATGAAAAATTTTAGACCTGGCAGGGACTTCACCCCTCCTTGGCGTCTACCGGTGAAGAAACTGCGGCCCAGCCAGATTAAGGATTTGCCCAGTCCACACAATTAGCTAAAAAGCTGGGACCAGAACCAGGTCTCCCACTGAGGACGGATGAGGATGAGGATGAGGAATCAGTGTACTCACCCATCAAACCGCTGGGACCTGGCGAGTGAGGGGGTCAACTTGGGAAGAGAGAAAAGTAGAAGCAATGCACACCCAGCCAGAAAAACCAGCCAGAATGTGAACCCAGACTGAAAAGACAGACCTAGGGTGGGCTAACGAGACTCAGTAAGCGACTTCCCAGCTTGTGTTTTGTTCCCATTGCACATGCAGTTGGGAGCCAAATGCGAGCCACCAAGGTTGCAGTGAGACAGTGAGCAATTATAACGCAAATATTTGTGGGCAGCTGTGGGAGTGCGAGCCACCTGCTCCAAGTTTACAGCTTTGTTAGACTTGGTAAACATTAAAAACGGGATGGGAACGCCCCCAGTCTGTACAGCATCCCATACCCTTCCTGGGAGGCCGGGGCTGGGGAGCTGGGGTGGCTGTGCCCATGACCAGGCCTGTCTCACTATGGCCTGGAGCTGCTTTCTGTGGGTAGAGATCGGTGCTGTCAATAGTCGAATATAGACCGAAGGATGTAGGGAGCATCTCACACTCGAGGATTTATAGGATTTGAAGGGACTACAGAGCCCTCAGAATATCACTTCTCTTTTAATATCTGACGAGGAAAATGAGATGCGGGACAGAATTGACTCTGGATCCCTGACCTGTTGCTCTTTAGCTGTGGTTCTTCTTCTAAGGCTCACTAGATGGATACAAGGTAGCAGACAAGGCTCCGGAACGGTACAGAATGTTGGCGTTGGAACTTTATCAGCTAGCAGTTTTTCTGGTTGTCACAATGACTAGGGGCCACTATTGGCATCAGTAGTGGGGAGCCAAGGAGGTTAACTAGCTTGAAACGTGCCAGATAGTTCTGTCTAGTGAGGAGCTGTCTTTGCCCCAATACCAAGAGTGTCCCTGTTGTCTATCAGTTATGGAATCTAAGTCCTAGAGATGGGGAGGGATTTGACCAAGGTCCCAAAAGGGAGTGGGTGAGCACTTCCCTGATACCAGGCCATTGTTTGTCCGACTCTGGCTCACCGCGTTCCTGAGTGAGTCGTGGTACCCTTGGTGTCTTCCGCAGAGGGGTGACTCCATCTCCCTGCCCCTGAGCCCCTACTGCTCTTGCTCCCGAAGCTATTTCAGCGATGGCACTTACTTGGACTTCAGGCCCTCCTGTCCGTAGGGTTGCAGCAGATACTGGTGCACCAGCTTGTCTCTGAGGGTGCCGGCCAGTTTGATTTTCTTTCTCGATCGGTGTAGATTGATGATAAAAAGTGTGATGGATCCACGGACGTAATGGTGGCTGATATCCAGGGAGAGAAAGCGACAAGAAGGAGACAAAGGGGTCAGTGGGGTGCTCTTACATCATTCACAGCCTGGTCCCATGAAACAGGAACGCTCCGGAAAAGGGCATTGACTGTATGTTTGCTGGCCACCATGGACTTGCAAAGACGGGAAGGTTTGGTTCTTGGGGCTTCTTGCAAAGAAGGGACCCACTTCCCACCACACTTTTTGCTTTTATGTAAATTTATTGCAGTGATTTTAGAAAACAAAATTAACATGCTGATCGGGTGGATGAGGGGTGGGGGAGGGGAGGGAAAACATAGAGACAAAAAGAAGAAATGGAAAGTTTCCCGTAATTTCGGTAACTTGACAATTAGATACTAATGAAATTTTGGTAAACATTTTTTAATTTATGAAGTCAACAAATATTTGTGGAGGACTTTGACACATACATGTATATTACTCAATTTTTTTTGCATAATTGGAAAAACACTGTTCACACAGCTTTTTTCACTTATTGAACATCTTCAACATGTTCCCATGTTATTGTTCTTCTGCTTCTAGAAGAATGCTATGTTCTTCAATCATAAAAATGTAACCTAATTTCTTTCACGGATCTCTAAGCTTCGAGACGTCTGTTTTCCAGTGCTGGGCCATTGCAGAGTATGTGGTGCACGGCTTCCTTGTCCACAACACTTTCTGCACGTCATGATTATTTCTAATCACTCAAGTCCTGGAGGTTAGAATCATTAGGTCAAAGGGAATGTCGACTTATAGAAGCCCTCAACCAACTTTTCTGGTTCATTCTCAATGATGGTATCCACCGATGGTATCCATCCCTGTGCCAAGATTTTCATATTGTTTCTCTGTTGAACTCAAAAGTAATCTCACAATGAGCTTTGACCATGCAGTGGGCACAGACCTGTGAGACCCCCTCAGAAGAACTTTCAAGAATCAACTCCTGTTTTGATATACCATATATATTCAAGTAGAAGCCGACCTGAATATCAGCCAAGGTACTTCATTTTACCACAAAAACTGCATAAAAAATGTGCTAGAAAAACTCGGCTTACCCATGAGTATATACGGTATCTTTTTGACTTCTGACAGCAGACAGACAATGTTGTGGCTAGGGGCTGCACTCTAGATCTGGGTCCTGGAATAAAATGATGCAAAGCTACAGGAGTGTGAACAAGGGGCACATTTATTTTCTTATTGAAAGGTCTGAAGAATGGGGGCTCCCGTGTTAGCATAACCTGGCTCATCCTGTTACAGACGCCATTCTCCAGAAAGGTGTACCCATTTGCCCCATCAGTTAGGTATGAGAGCGCCCATGTCCTCATACCCTGAACAACCCTAGCGGTTGACACTTCGGAGCTGTGTCCTTTGTATCTTTAAGTAATACTGGGGTCTGCATTTTCTCCACTCATCTCCCCTTGATGCGTCTACTGAACAACCTGCTCCTGCCCGTTGCCCATGGTTTTCTATTGATTTGTGAAAACACTCTCAAACCTGGCAGCCCTCTGGCTCCACGTACAATCTCTCCTGGTTTTCTTGGACCCTTTCTGTTTGTCGGCATTGTGTCCCAGTGTGGAAAAGCTGTGCTTTTTTGGCTTTTAAATGTAGCCTCATTTCTCGATCTTTTTGATTTCTGCTTTTGAGATTTCAGCCCACCCTCAGATTCTGAAACCATTCACCATGCTGGAATCCTTTAAACTGGCGCAGGATGTCCAGAAGCCTGGGAGAACGCTATCTGCCTACACGCAAGAGCCTTTCAGCATGAATCAACAAAACCATAATGATTTCCTTCTCTCTCCCAGGGGCAAAGACTTTGTTTCTAAGGGGTCCCTTAGGGCCCCATCTGGATGGGTTAATGAGAGGAAACAGAAAAAATGTCCTGACTTCGCCTTCAAAGGAGGAGTTCAGAGAAAATCTAAGGCAACTTCGCCCAGAGGGAAACATCAGTCCTTAGCAGAAACAACACCACCTTTCCACCTGCACCTCCCGGGTCACTCATCTCTGCTTCTAAAGGTGTTAATTAAGAGTACAGTGACCAATGGCAGGCCCATGTAATAACTTGGCATTTAAGAGCATATATATATTAAGGTGACCAGATTTTAACATTGGTAAAGCGGGACAAAAGTGGGACACCATTGATAAAACTCATATCCTGGCGAAATAGCCACATGGCAGCCAACCGTATACCCTAGCTTGTGCATGCTTTCCAAAAATTGAGAAAAAATGTTAAAAATCGGGACTGTTCCGCCAAAAGCGGGACGTCTGGTCACCTAAATTATATATATATATATAATTTCCAAGAGTCCTTTATATATATATCTAATTTCCAAGAGTTCTTTCTGAGGATTTCAGTGGGATGTTGCCTGGAAATCTGTATTTTAAAACATATTCTTGGGTTATTTGGCAGATCAATTGGATTTAGAACTCTATTTCCTAAAGAGCAATGAGAAGAACTCCTACAGGAAATCCGGATGACTGTGGGTCAGCTGATCTTGATTGCCTCTGCAAGAGGGTACAGTATTGTGTTGGAGACTTTTTGGATGTCCACATGGATGGGCTAAAGGTGATGAAATGACCCTCCTACTCAACCCCTCCTCCTAAGGCCCTCCCCTCACTCCCTTGCTGCATGGAGATCAGAAAAGAATGACAATTGATCCGAGCAGGCGGGTGTCATCTGAGCCCTGAAGAACAGTGCCGGTAGCCCGGGTCCCCATGGGTCCCCACTAAAAAGCACATACACTGTGCTTCTTCGGTGGGCTTGCAGCTGAGCTGAGCTGGGGGCAAAATTGAGGAAGACCTCATTAATGACAAGTAGCCCGGTCTTTATCATGCGAATAAAAGGAAATGTGAGTGGGCACCTGTTTTGCCAGATGACAGTAAATGCTTTTGCTAACTACCATCTACAAGCTACTCTTGGTCCAGCCGTGGAGGGGGAGAGCCGTGTGTTTGCATTTGCCAGTTTCTTCCCTGCAAGCCTAGGGCAGAATGAGTCCTTGGAGACCCCAGCAGAAGGGTGGGATGTGAGGAAGTGGTGGGTGGAAGGGAGACCTGAAGTCACAACATTGCTTCGGGGAAAGCGCTCTTTCCAAGCTGCTCAGCAAGGGTCTGATTCCCATTGAGATAGTTCCCCTGAGGGAAACTGCTCGGTCCTGAGAGCCAGCCCCAGGGTCAGTGTGCACAACCTCTCCGAGAACTCCCAGAGAGTCCTCAGGTAGGAACTGGCATGCCCATGCAAACCTCTCCCTGCCTTGGCTGATGGACAGGCGCAGGAAGCAGAGGCGGGGTGGGGTGGGGGGGTGGTGGTGGTGGGGTGGAGAAAGTAGCATCAGCTTGAAAGTTTGGTACTGAGAACCCAGACTCCTGCAGAAGTTCCATTCTCTACCTGCTGCAAAAGAACCATGGAGGAGTGTTTGTTCCCTCAGAACTTGGAGTAGGAAGCCATGACCTGCAGGCAAATGCTGCACTTCCGTCAAGTCCAGTCAGTCTGGGGTTTCTGCACTTGAGTGCACGCATTCTTCTGGGGACCGGCGATCTCAATCCATGTCTCACTCGGGGTGAGCCTTCCTCACTAGCGTGTGTCTGGAGTTCGTCTTTGCTGGCTTCTTCCTGTCCTGCCTGATATCTCTGTGTTGCCATGGGAGACGGGGAAGAAATAGACTCAGGGAAGGGAGCCTGCAATTGGAATTCCCTGCAAGTCAGAAGTGGGGGATGTCCTTTGGGAAGGGGCATCGTGAGTTCCAGATAAAAAACGTGGCCCAGCAATGTCTCCGGAGAAGCTGGAAGGCAGGGTGGGGCAGGGAGCCTGATGCCTTGGCGTCCACGGCCATTCCCAGGGAAAGTGGACGTGTCTGACACCGGGTTGGTCCATTGTCTGCAGATCCAACTCAAAGGTTTTGGGTTCCATAAGAGGCCGTGTTTTGCCAAACATATTTCCCCCTTAATTTCAAAGCCCCAGTGTATTTTAAAGGAAATTTAATCCACATGTTTCTGATTCATTTACACTTAACTCATCAAAATATTGTTTTGTAAGAGCCATTTGATGTCCAAGAAGCCTCAGGAACCTTTTTTTTTTTTAATGAGTCTTAAAAAAATCTTCTTCTCAAAAACAGGAAGTCTTATTTTACCAATAATAAATGAAATTGAACCCCAACAGGCTCAATGTTGCTTCAACACCCACCAAGTTCCAATTGGTTCTGAACTTGGCTAAGGGTCTCAGCTCCTGCCCAGCAACATACTGTATATACTTAGTATAAGCTGAGTTTTCCAGCACATTTTAAATGCAATTTTTGTGGTAAACTTAGGTGCCTCGGCAGATATTTGGGTCGACTTATACTCGAGTATATACGGTACATTATCTCAGAAGCAGGTCTTATAAAATGATTTCCCAGCCAAACTTTGTTCTCTGCACAAGCAGATTGAGGGTGAGAGCTGGCATCCGTCTCATTCTCTAACTTGAACAGAAAGCAGACCAACACCTGCTGGCTTGGGTATGTGCACGTAACTTTCCCTCCCCCATCCACCCTGACCCCGCTCTCTATTGGTTCCGCCATGACCCACAAAATAAGAGGCAGCCACGTAACAGGCAGCGAAGTATTCAAGGAGAGGCTGCGTGCCTGTCAATCAGCGAGATTGTAGATATCTTGACTAGGACTCCGGGCCAAGACCTCTAAGGTTCTTTCCATTACATGTTTGCATCACTCATGCTGCTATCTGCATATAGCAGCAACACAGTGGCACTTTGGGGATCCCGTTAGATAACAGAGAGGTAACAATCTGGCACAGTGATGGCCAAATAGCAAGTATTCCTTATGTCCCACGGGGAGGTACCTTGCACAGGGGCTGTTGTTTGAATAGATGCTTTCTTTCTTTGAGTTGTTGCGCTAGTAAGGCTATATTTTCTCCCCCAATCCCTGGTTTGACCAAGGACATATATTTTCTTAGTAAGAGGGGAAGTTGAATCGTGGGAAGCCATCATGCTCACTCTGCATAACCCTGTGATTTAGGCTTCATTGGCCACACATAAATGAATCGACAGCGTTTCTTGAGGATGTGGGGGCAAAGACAGGACGTGGCTTCCTAGAGAGACCAGACAGTCTTCTGACCTAGTGGCACCTGGCGCCTGCTCCACGGACGAGACCCACCACCCCTGTCAGCTCATTATGGATTCTCTCTTTGGATCTCACAGACACTAAAAGACCCAGGATCACGTGTGGCATGGATGAACCAGGTCTTTCCTTTCTTTCTGTAAAAGGTGAGAAAGAAGGTGCCAATGACAAGTGCAGAGACCCTGTTTGCCCCAGGGTGTCTGGAGTGACTTCCCAGAAAAAGTTAAGAGAGGACTCTTGAATCCAGGTCATCTTAGCAACTTCTCTGAGCTCTTAAGCTGGTGAGCCAAAGAAGTCAGAACCGCTTCGTCAGCCCACCTCCTTCTAGAGGATGCCACGAACCCAGAGGGGAAGGGAGCTACAACTCTGACTTGGCAGTGCCATCTTGATGTCCTGTTTCTGCATCCCTTCGCTCTTTCAGGTAACAGTCACAGAGACCATCTTCACGCCGGTCGCAATACTAGACACGAAGCATTCCAAAATGAGGGAGACCTCATCCTGAGTGCATGATAAACTCAGAACATTAGCGACAACTTTCCAAGAGCATGTTGAAGAGCACATGGGCATGAATTCGAATGAGATTATATAAGAAGGTCTCAGGGTGGCTCCCTAAGTCCCTTCAAACCTGTGCAAAATGACTCCCCCTGCACCCGTGGGCTCTCAGACTGGTGTGCATTTCAACACGGACAGAAGGTCCCAAGAGCCATTTTTCTCTCCTGTGATGAGGGTCCACTTTTTGGGTGGTTACCTCCAGGCTGGGCAGAGACAAGGAATACAATGTTTCCTTGTGTGGGGATCAGATAACTCCTGGCCAAGGCCACAAAGCAAGCCCCTCTCTGTCAGGTATTGGACTACGCTTCCTGCTGATGTTGAAAACCTTTTGGCCTCAGCCCAAACCAGTGACCCTTCATCCACAAAAGACACTTGTCTCTACAGACAAGACAACTGGCCCCGGCCCCACCTCTGCTCAGCATGAGTCTTTGAAAATATCTTATCATGATAAATGAATTGGCTTGGCTCCTCTCTGATCGAGGAGGGAGAAGGGGCTTGGGCTGTAACCTGACCACTCCAGCCTCTGTGTGCCACCCCCCACCCCCACCCCAGATCAGCCCTGACAGGCCAGGGGTGGGCCAAAGGCCGGCCTGGGGGGGCTCTTGCTGCCCTCTCCTCCCCATGAGGTGTTCTCTGCCTTAAGAGAAAGAGTTCTCTTTCCCAGGGCTGCCTACGCTCTCCCCGCAACAGGATGCGGTGTAAGAAAGCCCTAGTTGGTCTTCTAGGCTTTGCTTGAGACCCCAAAGTATTTTTGTCTGCCAAACTTGAAATTAATTTTCTTGGGTGTCTGAAAGAGAAGCATCCTGGCCCCCAGTACTACAGAGAAGAGAGAGACACCGTGGGACGGAGTGGTGCGTGCAGCCCCAAACCAAGGGAAACCCAGGTTTCCGAAACCTTCCCGGAGCTGGCAAGATTTTTGAAACGAGGAAAATTCCTCTACAGATGGCCTGGCCACTTCTGAGCCCTCCTTGGGTTCTGCTGGAGACGCAAGGATTGAGGACAAAGCGTCTATGTCAAGGCGGCTTTCCTCAGACTCGGTAGATTTTCCAGTTCTCACCTTGGTGTGGGCTTGGGCACACACCAAAGCCTCTCGGGCATTCCATCGAGTGGCAGCCAAGAGAAAAGGCTAACTTAAAAATGTGTCAGATGAGTGAGTGAGCACGCCCTTTATGAATCCATCCTGTGAACGGGGGAAGGGGCCTTTGCTGGGAGAGAAAGCTGGGTGTTAGGATCACTTGAAATCCTGCAGAGCCCGCATAGGGGCCCCACAAGGGCGTGCTCAACCAAGGAAGGTGAGTGGCCTGGGAGCGGTCAGTCTTAATGGGGTCCCCAATGGCATAGAGTCTAAACAGGCCCCCCCCCCAGTGGTGGCCTGTGCCATTCCTGTGAAGACTTACTTGTGGTGGTTTGTGCAGTGAGCATAGATCCTTAGCTTGTCCCGGATCACTCGGCCAGGCCGGGGTTTCCGCTGGAGCCCAGCCACGTGCACAGCCAAGACTTTGGGGCCAATCAAGCGCTTGTAAAGGAGAGAGAGCCAGTAATCCTGTGGAGAACAGAAACACACGGAGAGTCAGTGGGAGAACATGTCCCTTGAGGTGTTCTGAGTCAGCACAATCTACCCAAGTCTTAAACCACACTGTACCCTAAGCAGTGGGGTAGGGACCAGCACGATCCCAGCCCTGCAAGCAGGGTCGCCTCAACGGTGGGTTGAAAATGAAGAGGGTGCTGTGGACATTGGGGATGCCAATGTACACTGGGGCCGACCCAGAGCGGTAAAGAGGAAATGAACAAACCCCTTTCACATGTGAAGTCACAACCAGTCTGGGCCTACAACCGTGAACTTTTTTTTCCTACAGCTTTACTGCCTGTACGGGTTGACGATTTCAAGTTAATTGTAGAGTGGAGGATTTCCAGTTCTTGGGATTGTGACCCATGCAAGCATCCAAAATGTCATTTTCCAAGTATTGTCACTGGAAACCAGGAGGAATGGAGCTTCTTCGGGCTGGGTCCCAGAGTCTTGCATTTCAGGGCCAGAAACACACAGAGAACAATGTTCGCAAACCCTGCTGCTGACTCTTGGCCATCTTCTGAGTCAAAAACAAAAGGAATCATTCGCAACTAAGAGGAAGGTGGAGCTTTGAACCACTCCGGGGCCATGAGATCAATGATCTCACTCAAAACCCATGTGTGTATCTAAAATCACACAAACCTACCCACTAGCCCGTTCATTGGTATTATATTTGCGGTTACATAAGTTCTTATCCCTTATGATGGGGTAAAGACATCAGTATTTATTACTCACATGTAAAACAGGGCTTCTTAATTTGTCTTGTATGTTCTGAAAAAATTGCCCCTCCACGCCCTTTCTGGAAACCACTGGATTTACGATTCCCTACATATTATTCCAGGTCTTCAAGACATGAACTATGTCTTTTCAGCCTCCTAATGATCTTTGGTTTTTTGTGTTTGATCACCTACACCACCAACTGCTTAAAAGAATCTGGTGAACTGCACCAATCAGCAGAGACCCTCAAAGTTTCCTTGCCAGCAGAATCGGTCCGCCGGGTCAACTCCGAGTCCCATCCAGTTACCCCAACTTGCTTTAAGTAGTCTAAGGGCAGCGGTACCATATGAAGAACTTGGGAATTATTTTCTCATAGCTTACTATTTCTGCGAAGTCTGAGGCTAAGGGAGCTTTTGTTCTTCATATGGGTGGCCTAGTTGTTTACTTTTCAGGCTTGTTTTAATCTAATATGCTTACAGGAGTCTTGCTTTATCTTTGATGATTGAACTTTTATGAGAAATGTGTCAAGTATGAGTTTTTGCATTCATTTTATGGCATTTGGGGGTTTCTTTTCACCAAGAGCCCTTCTAGGGTAGTGGTTATGTGTTGGGCTGCAAACCACAAGGTCAGCAGTTCGAAACTGCCCGCTACTCTAGAGAAGAAAGATGGGGCTTTCTTCTTCCATAATGAGTTTCGTCTTCAGAACCTACAGGGGCAGCTCTACCTCGTTCTATGGGTCGCCATGAGTCAGTGTTCACTCATTGGCAGTAAGTTTCTTTCTTTCTTTTGGGAGGTTTTGACCATAAAGAGCTTTCTTCAACTTGTGAACATTTTCTTTAAGCATAGCTTTGGGTCTTATGCCTTTTAATTTGCTTCAATCTGTTTCAGGAGTATATTTGATAGAACTCAACACTCAAAAAAAATTTTTTTAATACTGTTGACAATTCAATGAGCTCTTTGTCTTTCCTTCTGCAAGGGAGTTTCTGAAGTCTACATCTATTTTCCCTAGAGCCATTTTTGTTATTTACTATATCCAAAGAGCACTTTAATGAGCTGCTATTAATATTTTGTTTCCTTGCAATCTTTTCCTATCTCAGTTAGTTCATCTTTTTGTTTGGCTTGAAGCACTTATGGATCATAAACTATAGTCTTTAATATGCACTATACCACAACATACAGGAAACAACCGGATCCCCTCCCAATTAGACCAATCATCAATAGACAACTGGACCAACTGGACCAGTCCCTCACAACTGGACCAACAGACAACACCATGATAAATAGAGGAAACAATGAAGTTCCCAAAGATTTCTTCTTCCTTGCACCCATAATAAATGCCCATGGAAGCAGCAGTCAAGAAACCGAATGATGTATTGCGTTGGGTAAATCTGCTGCACGACACCTCTTTCAAATGTCAAAAATCAAAGATAACACTTTGAGGACAAAGGTGCTCCTGATCCAAGCCATGGTATTTTAAATCACCTCAGGAGCATGTGAAAACTAGACCATGAATAAGGAAAGCCAAAGAAGAAACGATGCCTTTGAATCACTATGCTGGCCAGGAATATTGAATGCCTGGGTCTCTAGAAGGGTGAACTACTCAGTCTTGGAAGAAGTACAGTCAAAATGAATGTTCCTTAGAAGGGAGGATAATAAGACTTTATCTGACCAATTTTATCACGAGGGATCAGTCTCTGGAGAAGGGACTCAATGCTTAATAAAGAAGGGGGGAGTCGCCAAAAGAGAAGAAGACCCTTGTGATAAGTTTATTGTGCCAACTAGACCTCTGTAGGAACATGTGGGTGGAGCTTAATCAGGTCAAAGCTTAATTGGAGGGTGACAGAGATAAATGCTTTCCAAGGCCAACCTCCTATCTCTCTTTCTCCCTGGTGATCAGACCAGCGTGCTGCTGCTTGAGCTAGTCCTTTGCCTCAGCCATGTGCTGCACTACCCGTGGGCTGAGCCAACCCATGGATGTGTCTCCTTGTGTTCATTGTTAGAGCTTGAGACTCCATCAGAGCTTGCTTTGATACTGACTGTTGCTGCCCCACCCTGCTGCCTGCTGCCTGTAAGCCAACTTTGCCTGACTTACCTGAGGGCAGACTGTGATGTCTGCTTCCTTGACCTTGGACCAGAGCCCTAGTAACTTGAAGGACCTACAGTATATTAACTGTTCCATGAAAGTGAGTTGAACTGAGCCCTCTGTAACTGTTGTGTGGACTAATTAGCCGTTCTATTCCTTCTTACTATATAAACCTATATACATTTATATATATATATATATATATATATA